ATGAAAAATTTATTTAACTCAAAATTTTATATGGCAAGAGATTTAAGGAAAAAAAATTTGAATAAATCTCTTAGTTGTGTTATTAATTAGGATTGGTTTCTTTTATATTTAATTCAAAATTTCATTTGATAAGAGATTTGAAGATTTTAATGAGTCTCTTAATTGTATTATTGATTGAAGCTTTCTTTTTTTTAGAAAAAAATTTATTTAATTCACAATTTTATACGTTGAAAGATTTGAGAAATGAAAAATTTTTAATAAATGAAAAGAAAAGTATTTGTTCAATTAAATTCCAATTAATTTTTTTTTACCATATACTATTTTAAATGCTTGAAATTCATTTCGTTTTTTATTTTTTATTTTATTTTATTTTTTTTTTTTTAGTGGCTTGAAGAAACATATCGTGGACCGGAAGGTCTTGATAATCGTCGAGCGTATGTCGTTTGTAATGTTGATCAACCAAATGTTGACAATTGGTTACGAACACCAATAATTAATGTCAAAGGAGCAAATCGTTTACATGTTGAAGTAAGTTAATGATTAAATTGATCTTTCAGTCTTTTTTTTTGTCATATCGGAATCAGTGATATAGTATTTTGAACAAAATTCTAATAATTACAACTGAAATAATTTCTTTTTATTGTTATTTCTTTAATAATTATTTGTTTTTTATTATTAATTTTTAATATTTTAATATTACATTTCCAATTTCAATCTTTGATTCCAATTATAATTTTGAATTAATTTATTATATGATTTAACTAATAGTCATAAGAAATGATATTTTCGTACTTTAATCAAAATTCTATTTCCATTTAAAAATAAATTGAAGATAAAAATTTTCATTACAAATCATTAGCTATTTTTTCACGAATTTTTTTAAATAAAAAATTTTGTATACACTTACAATTGAAATATTGAAATAATTTGAAATGACTTTTTATTTCCTTTCCTTAAATAAATTCATTTCTGATATTTTACTTGAGCTTTTTTCTTTTTTTCTTTGTTTTGTTTTGAATGAAAAACGAAGATTTTATATAAATGAATTTAACAGAAAAAAAGAAATAAAAAACAACTCTTGGGGGGGTTTTTTTTTTTCAAAAGAAGGGAAGAGGATGAATTATTTCAAAAGTTATAATTTTGCATTTTAGTTAAAATGGACAATATGTGTTGATAACTGATTTAAAATTTAATTAAATTTTGGCAAAAGTTTGACGATAATTTTATATTTACATTGTCTATAAATTGAAATTATTTTTTCGTTTTTCCTTTCTTTTTCAATTTATTTGTTATTTCAGTTCTTCGGAAATGATTATTAGTTATTTTTTAATACAAATATTTTGTAGATGATATTTGTTATTCGATTAAATTAAAATTTTATTTCAAATTTTAAATTTCAGGTGACCTTTACAATGCGTGATTGTAGTGAATTCCCAGGTAATGCTCGTTCATGTAAGGAAACATTCCGTTTATATGCTGTTCAATTAATGAACAACGAACAATATCAAAATATTTGGAATTCTGATTATTGGTAAAAACAAATATTTTCTCTTTTTAAATTATTATTGTAAATTTTTTTTTATCAAATTAATTTAGAAATTTTTCCTTTTAAATTTTAAATTAAATAACATTTGTAGGAAACGTGAAATGTTCACGTTTCTGTAAATTCTTTTTTCATATATTTACAATATAATTTTAAAAGTAATAAACTTAGTAAAATAAGCTTTTCATAGTGAAACAAAAACTTTAAATATAGTAAACGTAATGAGATAAGCAATTTTAAATGTTGTAATAAAATAAGCAATTTTAAACGTAATAAGTATATTGAAATAAGCAATTTTGAACGGTAATTAGCTTAATGAATTAAGCAATTTTAAGTGTAGTAAAGTAAACAACTTTAAATATAGCAAGCATATAGTAAAGTAAAATTTTGAAACATTTATTAAAATTTAATTCTTAATATTTGCCCATTTCTTATAATTACACTCATAAGCTGTTTAGGTAATATTAGAATTTTTGTAAAATTTTAATCTGAATAAAGAAATTTTCAGGGATTTAATAGATCGAATAACAGCTGATACTGGACGACATTCGAAACATGATCCAACAATTGCTGCTGTAAATCAAGAAGTTCGTAGCTATACGGTTACTAAAGATGCTGTATATTTTGCTTTTCGAGATTCGGGTGCTTGTATATCAATACTTAATATTAAGGTTATATATACTTTTAATTCATTACATCTATCATAAAAATAAAAAATTTTTAAATAAAATTTTAAATTAAATTAAAATTTACACCAAATTCTCTATTTATTTATATTTCATAAAAATGTAGTAATTTATTTAAATTAAAAAATATACAATATTTCATGCTTAATTTTATCAGATTTAATTAAATCAAATTAATTAGTTGAAATTAGAAATGTCACAGATTTCTTTTTTTGTAATGCAAAAACAATGACATTTGATGTTTGCATTAATTTTATCATTTATTTAAATGAATTTGAAATAATTTATCAAAATATTATCACCTATTTTTTCTTTTTTTGCTTCAACAAGTGTATGCAAATTTTTAAAAATAAAAAGAAATTCAAATAAGAATTGAAATAAAAATAAGAATAATAATAGTACATAAAAGGAAATTGAAAGAAAGGTAAAATTAATTTGGAAAAAATCATACATTTTGAAATTATTTTACTATTTTTAAAATATTTAACAATATGACTCCAATTGTAGAATTCATTTCTTCCTCTTAACACTTTAAAATTTCCACAGTATATCGGTCTTATGATCATATCCTTAATGTTTTCAATATAACTTGTTATGATCATATGATCAATCTTTTACAGTATACTTTCTTAAGAATATTACATGCTTAATCTTTTATAGTATATCGTAGGATCATATGCATAATCTTTACAGTATATTTTGACATCATATGTTTACTTCCTTGCATTGTTTTAGAGAAAGTTAACAACAAAAAAAGGTCAGAAAGGTCAGAAAAACAAATGTTATCGTTGTTTTTTTTTTTTTTTATGACATAACTATTGAAATGAACTTATTCCAAAAGAGGTCAAATTAAGACAAGATGTTGAAAGAGAATGTAGCAGAAAGATTACGATTATAGAAAGTGAATAATGAATAATTTCCTTTGAAGTGTAATTTTAGGGGTAACTGACCCTCCCACAAACCATCGAAACAACCAATTTTATAGGGGTAATTACGATAGTTTTATGATGATCATTTTGAATTGCACTGACCTATCTTAAAGGTCATGGATATGCGTTAGTAATGAATTAGGATAATGCTGGCAAGGATCATAAAATCATCGTTAAAAGGAAGTTGTCAATTTTGTCAAAAGAATTGTCCCTTTCATTAATTGTAAATTCATTTATGCAATAAACATTTTGCTATGCTTTTTAATAATTTCAAATTTCTAACAAAAAAAAAAGGAAAAAAAGACTAATGATAAGTAGTATAAAAGATGAAAAAGAAAAAAAGAAAGAATAATTTTTGATAATTTGAACGATGGCTTTTTTCTTACTAATTTTTTTCTTTTTTCTTTGTTTTATTTGGATTTGAATTTTTTTTAAAATTTTTGCTATAAAGGAAATATTTTTAAAATTTAGTTTTTAATTTTAATTTTGATTAAAATTGAATTCAATTTTCCTTTTACTATTTTGGAATAAAAGAAATATAAGTGTTTAAAATGTACAGTGCTCATCATCAAATTAGACCGTTTTGAAATGAATTCATTAATTAATTTAAGCAAAATAAAAGTTTCAAGCATTTGATTTGGAATTTGGCATGAAATTTAAATCGATGGATTTGGGTAATGCAATTTATTCATTTTGATAATAATGATTACAAGAGAAAATTCGGGAATGGAAATGAAATTGAAGTGACGATGAATTATTATAAGACGAAAGTTTGGACGGGAATTTCTATTAAAATGAAATTTAATAAAATGAGACTAAGAAAAGGACAAGAGTTGGGTGACACGCAATTTCATCAGGATTTTCGTCTAATTATCCCTGTGGCATTATTTCAGTTTTAGGGGTTAGTATTAAATATTGGCAGAATGAATTTGAATTTTTCATCAAAATAATTTGAATGAAATGAATTGGAAATTCAAGATAGATAAAGGAGAGAAATTGAACTAAATTTCAATTTTTTTTTTCTGGTCATAAATTAATTCGTTTTATTTTTTTAGTTTCGAATTTAGTTTTCAATTATCTTTTAGAAACGGAAATTTGCTAAACATTATAAATTGCATAACTGTAAGGAGTTGACAAGAAAAGTAATTAGGGAATTTTTAAGAAGGCGAAAGTAATATAATAATAATTTAGACAATTTGTTGAATGGTAAGTTATTATGCAAAATTACTTTTTCATGTACATTTCCTTAATTGCAAATAAGTAATCAAATATCTTTGATATTGAAATTCAAATTAAATAAATGCTTGAATAAATTCAATCTTCTTAAATCAAATGTAATAGATTTAAAGTTGTTTTAATTCATGCTCTTTAAATAACAAAGTAATTAGGTAATGTATATTTAATAGTCTCAAGTAATTACTTTTGAAAATAAAACGTCAGCTAATTTGCCAAATATAAATTAATCCGAAAGAATTTTTTTTTTTAAGGAAAATGTTTGTTTAAAAATTTGAAATCTTTGTTATATAAAACTTTCAAAATATTTTCTTTCCAACTTTTCTTTCAATTCTTTTCTAATTACAATTTTAAATTCACAAATGATTTACAATTAATTCTGTAATTTGATAAACATTTATATATTGCTGAACTAAAGAAAAAAAAATGGACGGAACTGGTATTATATATATTTTTTCATATGAAATATTAATTAATTTAGGTGGATTTCCAACAGAATTGTTATTTTCTAATGAATAAAATAACAAAAAAAAAAAAGAAAAAAACGAAACGAAAAAAAAATTTTATAGATTTTTTATGAAGTATGTCCAGAAATAACTCGCGCATTTGTCCATTATCCGCAAACAGTAACTGGCGCTGAAGCGCATTCAATCATTGCTGTAAATGGTAAATGTGTTCCAAATTCATCACCTCTTGGTAAGCTTCTTTTTTTTTAATTTCATTTTTTTTTAATTTTAAAAAATCTTTATTGGTGACGCTTTTTTTTCTTGAAGAGAAAAAAAACTTTCTTTTTAGGCGAAATTTTTGTTTTTATTTTTGTGTATTACTTATAAATTGTGTAATGTTTAGTGTTATTATTTCCTTTAGTTACTTTATTACCTAAAATTCATCTTTTTAACTTTAGTACTTATGGTTCTTTTTTTTTACATTATTCTTGTAAATGATTCTTTACGTTAAATCTTACGTCTTGACGTATTTTACATCTTTACGTTTTTAACGTCAAATTTTTTAAGGCATTCTTCTAATATGTTTTTACGTTACGTTACTTTTTTTTTTCTAAAATACGTCCCTACATTGCACTAATTTTTTCAATACATTTTTAAATTATATCACCCTTTCACAAACGTTTTTAAGTCATTTTATTTTTTTTTCCTAAAATGCATTTTTACGTCAAGTTATTAGTTCTAAGTATGCTTTTACGCCACTTTACTTTTTTCGAAATAGTTTTTTTTTTACATCAGGTTACTTTTTTTAAAGTATGTTTTTACGTTACGTTACTTTTTTTAAAGTATGTTTTTACGCCATGTTATTGATGTATGCTTGTTATATTTATTGTATGACTTTTAGGTGTTGCTAAAAAAAATAGAATTTCAGGTGGTATCAAACAGCCAACATATGTCTGTAAAGCGACAGGATCATGGGACATGGCAAATGGTGAATGTCATTGTGACAAAGGTTATGCATCATCGATTAAACATAATACTTGTACTGGTTAGTTAATTATTTAAATTCGTTACTTTTTTTTTAAAGTGAAACAAAAGATCGAATGATAGAAATGAATGATATCAATTACTATTGATCAGGTAATTTTATTGACAGTTCTATCAATGGGATCGTTAACTTCTTAAATCTTTGATTAATTAAAATAAATATATAAAATCATTTTTTGATAAGTATTTAAATAAATTGTGATAAATTTTATGTTACATCGATAATTATTTATTTACTTTTATTTCCTCCTGAATTAATCTAACATTTATTACTTTTAAATGTCAAATTAAAAAAAAAAGTAAAAGTGATGAAATTTGCTTTTTTGAATGAAATTTTTTTTTTTGAATTTTATTTTTAAAAAATATGTTTTAATTTAAAAAGAAGTAATCATCAATTTATATGTGTATTCTGTTGTGTTAATTATTAATTATTAGTAAAGAAGGATTGTTGAATGAGAAAGAGAGAGAAAGAGAGAGAGAGAGAGAGAGAGAGAGAGAGAGGAGGAGGAGGGAGGAGAGAGAG